GTTTATGCTAAGAAATCTATATATATAAAAGCCTAAGCAACCCTTAAGACAGAACAACTGGAACGACCAGTCCCTATGATGCGCACTGACCACCAGGGGGCAGACGCTCAATGCAGGAGCTGCCTCCAGCCTGCAGGCCCCAATCGCTGATGGGGCCTGCCAGCCAACCTCCCGGTCTCTCCCCCCAGCCAGCAGGCCCTGATCACCTGGGTAGTGGTGGACACTGGCGAGGGAAGGAAGAGGCAGGGAGGTGGGGAACCTGATCAGCCCTGATCGCCAGCCAACTTTTGATTCCCAAAACATAAATATTAATATCCTACTGTTGATCAGAAGCCTTACCAATAACATATACTGTTGAGTAGCATATTTTCTATATGTATTATATACTGTATTCTTAGTATAAAGTAAGCTGGAGGAAAGAAAATGTCATTAAGAAAGTCACAAAGGAAAAGAGAATACATTTACAGTATTGTACATATTTATTGAGGGAAAAATCTATGTATAAGTAGAACTATGCAGTTCAAACCCATGGTGTTCTGGGGTTAACTGTATTCTAAATTTGACTATAGACTAAGTTTTCCAAGTGAGTTTTTACTTTCACATGTTTTCATGTTACAAATTAACACCTTTGTGTTTCAGCTTGAAAAACTCCATTTAGCAGTTCTTGTATGGCAGGTCTAGTAGTGACTGACACTGTTAGTTTTTGTTTGCCTGGGAAAGTCTCTCTCCTTCACTTCTGAAGGACAGTTTTGCAGGTAAATATTCTTGGTTGATGGTGTATGTTTTTCTTTCAGCACTTTGAATATATTATCTCACTCCTGGCCTGCAAGGTTTATGCTAAGAAATCTATATATATAAAAGCCTAAGCAACCCTTAAGACAGAACAACTGGAACGACCAGTCCCTATGATGCGCACTGACCACCAGGGGGCAGACGCTCAATGCAGGAGCTGCCTCCAGCCTGCAGGCCCCAATCGCTGATGGGGCCTGCCAGCCAACCTCCCGGTCTCTCCCCCCAGCCAGCAGGCCCTGATCACCTGGGTAGTGGTGGACACTGGCGAGGGAAGGAAGAGGCAGGGAGGTGGGGAACCTGATCAGCCCTGATCGCCAGCCAGGCCTAGGGACCCCACCCGTGCATGAATTTCGTGCATTGGGTCTCTAGTCTATTGATAGTTTTATTGGGGTTCCTTGTATGTGAAGAGTCTCTCTTCTCTTGTTGCCTTCAAATTTATTTATCTTTGTTTTGGGACAGTGTGATTACACTGTGTCTCAGTGAGGAACTCTTTTGGGTTGAACCTGTTTAGGGACCTTTGAGCTTCATGTCCCTGGATGTATATATCTCTCCTCAGTTTTTAAAGTTTCAGCCATTATATCTTTAAGTAAGCTCTTTGCCCCTTTCTCTCTCTTCTCTTATTGGTATTTCTATGGTTTGTATATGAGTCCTCATGATAGTGTCCCATAAATCCCATAGACTTTCTTTACTCTTTTTAATTCTTCTTTTTGCTTTTTTAATGGGTAATTTAAGTAGCTTGTCTTTGTTTTCTCAGATTTTTCCTTCTGCTTGATCAAATCTGTTATTTTCTCCCCATTTCATTCATTGTATTCTTCAGCTTCAGAATTTCTATTTGATTATTTTTTATTCTTTCTATTTGTTTAAATTCTCATTTTGTTCATGTATAGTTTTCCTGATTTCCTTGAGTTGTCTGTGTTCTCTTGTAGCTTGCTGAACTCCTTAAAATAATTACTTTGAATGTTTTTCTCCTTTTCTTTTTATTTATTGTTTAAAGTTTTACATATGTCTCCTTTTTCCCTGATTGGACCCCAGGCAAGCCCCCACCACTCCAGTGTCTGTGTCCATTGGTTATGCTAATATGCTTGCATTCAAGTCCTTTGGTTGCTCTCTAACCCCTATTTTGAATTCTTGATCCAGTCATTCACAGATCTCCATTCCTTTGGAGTAGGTTACAATTGTGTTCCTTTGGCAGTGTCATGTTTCCTTGATTTTTCATGTTTATTGTAACCTTGTGTTGATTTCTGCACATTTGATGTAGTCATTCTTTCATACTTCGTGATTTGGCTTCAGTGAGGAAAGACCTTCACCTATGGGTGGGTGTGGGTTCACTGACTGGGTGAGCTGCAGCAATTCTGGCTCCAGGGAGGGCACAGCAGTGTGGGCTTTGTGGCATTCCATCAACTGGATCAGCATCAGTGAAGATTGTAGAGGCCCCAGCATTTCTGAGGGCAGGTGGTCACAGCAGCATGAGCTGTTGCAAAGAATGCTGATGTCCTCCTGTTCTCTTTTTCTCCTATAGGGGAGCAACCATGGGACCAGGGGTTAGAGCAGGGGTGGGCAAACTTTTTGACTCGAGGGCCACAATGGGTTCTTAAACTGGACCGGAGGGCCGGAACAAAAGCATGGATGGAGTGTTTGTGTGAACTAATATAAATTCAAAGTAAACATCATTACATAAAAGGGTACGGTCTTTTTTTTTTTTTTAGTTTTATTCATTTCAAACGGGCCGGACCCAGCCCGCGGGCAGTAGTTTGCCCACGGCTGGGTTAGAGTGTGGGACCTCACAGGATTACAATGGCTCCAGGGTTCAGGGCTACTGTGATGGTGGCTTCAGGGTTCTAGGTGTGGGCACTCACAGAGAATAGTTGTAGAGCCAGAGTACAGATTGCAAGTACATGCAAATCAGCTACAGCCCTGAGGCCTGGGGCATGGATGCACTTGCTGTATTGGTGATTTCAGTATTTCTGGTGTGGTTGCTCATAAAGGGGTCATGGAGCCAGAGTCTGCAATTCAGGCACATGTGAAGTGGTTGTGGGGCCTGGGTTTGGAGAGTGGGCATGCATGGGGTGTCTTGGGCCCTGGGGTCCAGTGCATGCATGGGGCTGAGGTAAGTGAAGGCCATGGTCTCAGAGCAGCGCAACAGTGGCTCTTTCTTGGAGAAGAGGGCACATAGTAGTGTCTCCCTCACTAGAGGGTTCTGTGGTGGTGATGGTTGTTGCTTATCTCAGTGGGAAAAATTGCCAGAGTTTTTTTTACAGAGCAAGCCACTGGAGTCCATGCTGACAAATACTATGGAGTCCTCCTCTATGAAAGCTACAGGGTGTTTGTAGCTGTCACAAGATTATTAAGGCTCCAGGGTGGCAAAGAGTACCAGGCCCTCTCCAGAGCAGGCCACTGTGGACCACAATGACATCCACTGTGTGTTTAATACTGATAGCCTCACCCTTCTTTGCTCCTAGCCATCTCCAAACATGTCAGCTATGTCAATATCTTCAGCAATCCTTTCTGTATGGTTATGCTCTTGTTTTTTCCCCACTGAGTTGTTTCAGGTTCTAAATTAGACACTTGAAGCCTTCCCAGGTCTATTTTTGTTCATGGATCGCTGTCTAATTATTAGTTTTTGTGGGTTGATGAAGGCTGGTATCTCCTCTACCAATTTGCTGATGCCACTTAGTCACCTAATTTTCTTGTAGGACAATTGATAAATCATATAATTTATTAAACCTAGAAAATTAAGCAAATTGACACTTTGTACATGAAAATAACATTGCACAACTATAAGAGCATAAATAAATCAGACAATATAAAGTAATCAAAAGAGAAATAGTTTTCTATGGTCTCTCTGACCATTTTTAGCTATTGAAGGTAAAAAAAATATGAATTCTCTATTACATAAGCATGAAACAAAGTTAACCAACCCTACCACTCCTTTACTAGTATATTATACTAGAGGCCCAGTGCACGAATTTGTGCACCAGTGGGGTCCCTCAGTCTGGCCTGTGGGATCGGGCCAAAACCAGCTCTCTGACATACCCCGAGGGGTGCCCAATTATGAGAGGGCGCAGGCCAGGCTGAGGCACCCCTCTGGGCCATGGTCTGCACCCCTCTGGTGCATGATCGGGGCCGGGGAGGGACACGGGAGGTTCCCCAGCCAGGGAGGGATTGCAGTAGGGCTCCAGGGCATGTCCAGCCCTTCTCACTCAGTCCCAATCGGCTGGACCCCAGTAGCAAGCTGGACCCCCTGGTGGTCAGTGCACGTCATAGCGATTGGTCAACCGGTTGACTGCCTGCCCCATGGTGGTCAGTGCATGTCATAGCAAGCAGTTGAATGGCCTTAGCATATCATTAGCATATTACACTTTGATTGGTTAAACGGACCACTGGATGACCGGACACTTAGCATATTAGGCTTTTATTAGATAGGATTGCTTTAATTTACTTATATATTAAAGCAATGATTATTTATTTATTTATTTTGGTTAATCCTCACCCAAGGATATTTTTTCTATTGATCTATTTTTTTAGAGAGAGTAGAAGAGAGAGGGAGAGACAGACAAAAACATTGATGTGAGAGACACACATCAATTGGTTGCCTCCCACACATGCCCTGACTGGGGCCAGGGAGCCTGCAACTGAGGTATGTTCCCTTGACCAGAATCGAATCTGGGGTCTTTCAGTCCGTGTGCTGACACTCTAACCACTGAGCAATCAGCTAGGGCAACAGCAATGATCATTTAGATTAGAAAGGAGAATTCTCATTTGTATTTAACTATGAATTTTGCCTGCACTAAAGCTACAGATAAGAGGAGCAGACAGTGCTCTGAGGATGCAGCCACTCATATCAGTGCTCCAGTGATCTGTAAAGAGAAGCTAAGAAAATTAGATCCAGTTAACTTAAATAGAATGTTAGATGTACTGAGGGTTCACAAAGTACTGGTATATTAGAGAGCTCAAGAGTGTAATGCAGAGAATTAGACAATCCATGATCTAGATTTCAGCCCTCCCCAAGTGTTTCAGAATAAAGCTTTCTATTTACAAGTACCTCACTTGTGCCATGGGTAATATTATTTCTCATTCAATGTCAGGAGGACAATGAGCTAATGTCTACGTAAGGAATTTAAGTATTGAGAGAAAATGGATTACTTAAACGCAAAATGGTCAAAGTTCATGAAAGTATTATTGAATGTGCTTTACATTACTCTTTTTAGGAGTCACTGGAGATTGGAAAAATCACTTCACTGAAGCTCAGAACAAGCAATTAAATGAAAACTATGAGAAAAATATGGCTGACACCTCTCTGTCATTCTGCATGGAGCTCTAGAAATCAGAGCATGGAAATAAGACCTACTCTCTCGCCAGCCTGCGTGAAGTAGAAGAGAACTCTGTTTCCAAATACCACTAATGGTTTACGTGACTTTATGTAAGGGTTTTAAACAATGACCTGGATATTCTTATTCCTAAATTTATGATTTACTTTTTTGGATTAACCCCAATGAGACTTCATTTATCCAGTATCAATAGTCAGCATTTTCCTTCTCTCTCTGCAGATTTTTAGTGTTTAGATTAATTTCAATATACCAACATGTAATATCCTGTATAATAAAGAAGTAATATGCAAATTAACCCTCACGCCCTCACAAGATGGCTGCCTATGACCAGGCCGTCAGGGGGGGTTAGTGAGGGACGACCAAATGACTGAACAGCAGGCTGAATGGGGCCACCAGGTGAGGGAGGGAGTTAGGAGCGACCAGGTCAGCAGGGGGACAGTTGGGGGGACCAGGCTGGCAGGGGAGGGCATTTAGGGATGACCAGGCTGGCAGGGGGGGCATTAAGAGGTGACCAGGCCAGCATGGGGGGGGCAGTTAGGGGTGACCAGGCCAGCAGAGGGGGGCAGTTAGGGGTGACCAGGCCAGCAGGGAGGGCAGTTGGGGGCGACCAGGTCAGCAGGCAGGTGAGCAATTAGGAGCCAGCGGTCCAGGATTGTGAGACCCTGGGGATAAAGAACTCATACATATCAACACACACAAAAAAGGTGAGCAATTGTGAGCCAGCAGTCCTGGGGATCAGTCCTAAACTAGGCAGTTGGACATCCCCCAAGGGGTCCCAGTTTGGAGAGGGTACAGGCTGGGCTGAGTGGAACCCCCTCCCCCCGTCATGCACAAATTTTGTGCACCAGGCCTCTAGTATAATTTCTGTTCTTTCTATATATCCTCTTTCCATCTTCTATTATAATTTCCTTTGAATTGAAATGTTTCTTTCAAAAGTTCTGTACAATACAATCATACCTAGAAAAAAGGCCAACTCCATTCATTTGATGACAGACATATATTGAGTGCCTTATTCATGCTGGGAAATGGAGAGCATCAAAAGATGACAAAAACAAGGTGCAGCCAGTAGTGAAACTGGACAGGAAAGGGGCCTGCTGCCTGTCAGTACACAAGTCAATAAGTAGAGACAAGGTTGAATCTTTGTGGTGTGTTTTTATTCAGATGGCCAGCAATCCGAGAGAGTGGCAAGAATAATGCCCTGAAAGAAATTGTTCTGACATTTCATTTCAAAATGGCCCTTATGTAGAGTTAGAGGGTGGGGAAAAATTTAAAACTAGTGAGTTCCCAGGGCCTGTTTTCTATCATTGTCCTTGCAAAGATTAGCTTGGGAACACTGCAACGATTAGCACCAGAACATGTCTCCCTTCAGATAGGTCCTTTCTTTTTTTTAAAAGTATATTTCTTTATTGATTTCAGAGAGGAAGGAAGAGGGAGAGAGAGATAGAAACATCAATGATAAGAGAGAATCATTGATTGGCTGCCTCCTGCACGCCCCCCACTGGGGATTGAGCCAGCAACCTGGGCATGTGCCCTTGGCCGGAATCGAACCTGGGACCCTAGGTCCTTTCTTTGATCTGCAATAAAAAGGTGTCTTCTTTCAGAGTAATGGACCCATCTGGGCTTCGAGGCCACCTTATCTTTACAGCCCTGTTTTTCTTCTTGCAGCACATCCCCCAGTTTCCCAGGGTCTGCAAGTATAATCTCTTTTCTATGGTTAATATAGTGAATAGCTTATTAAACAACTAAGACTCTATTATTATAGCATGTTCTTCCCCTAATAGTCGGAAACTGTAGCATGGCACAGGTGAACTGTATTATCAAACAAACTGTGATACTAACATAGACGACTAAAAGATGCAGCAGGATCATAGAGAAGAGAAACAAAGCCACATAGTATAGAGTCACAGAAAAACTAAGGGAAATAGGAACATGACACTGTGGGTATTTCACAACAACCCATTCCCTAGCCACAAGTACATGTACCACATTTAGCACAGTCAGCATTCCTATCTTCCCATCACCCCAAAGTGCAAAAGTGTCCTACTTAATAATTTACAGTTGATCTTTAAACAAACCTGGTTTGCATTGTACACATCCACTTATACCCAGTTTTTAAAATAAATATTTAATCTTCTGTATGATTTCCTTAATTACATTTTTTCTCTAGGTCACTTTATTGGAAGAATAACATGTAACATACAAAATATGCGTTGATTGAAAGTTTATGTTATTAGTAAGGCTTCCAGTCAACAGTAGGCGGTTCATAGTTGCGTTAGGAGGGAGTCAAAAGTTATATGCAGGTTTTTGACTGCGCAGGGGTTGGCACCCCTGACCCATGCATTGTTTAAAGGCCAACTGTATTTCTAAAACCTCAGGGACACATAGTTCCAGAAATCCTTCAAGACCCAATGGAATAATTCTTCAATAACAAAGCCCAAAAGAAGTGAAGTTATATTTAGGAGAGAGAGAAGCATATCTCTATCTTATTTCCTACCCCTACCTCTAAGGCCAAAATGCTAGGTCTCTTTCCATAACAGATACTAGATAATTCTAAATGAATAAAACACAACATTAGTCATTCATGCTCTTTATAATATAAAGTTCAAAAGCTGTGGCTAGTACCTTGAATTAGAGGAAAAGTCCAAAATAAGAGGAAAAATATTTTTCACTTTGAACTATTCATTTTTTTTCCTTCAAGCGGCAGGTTATCCAATTTCTTAGGCAGGTTCCCTGGAAACAGAAACTAAGATAAATATTCCTGGACACTGTGATTTATTGAGGAATGAGGTAAGCATGACAAAGAATGAAAGGAGTCACACAAGAATATTATTCCAAGAAAACAGTATGGAGTGGGGAGATGGGGATGAGGAGAGGAGCTGCAGAAGCTGTGCTGCTTTGAGACTGTATATCCCAGTATGGGGAGTAATGGGTTATAATTTAATTCCCAGGCACCTTGAGGCAAAGTAGCTGAAGGCTATGAGCTGAGCCATGAGCTGAAGCACCTGCAGTAGCTGGGGGATGGGTATACCATCCTAACCCGGAAGCACCACCCCAGGGGATTTGGGCAGGACACCAACACCTGCTATGATTAGGCATTTCCAAAGAAACAAACGTGTAAGAAAAGCTGCGAACTGAGAAGGAAAAGCACATTAGAAAACAGGAAAAGACCTTGGACTCTCCATGCTGCCCGATTCTGTAATTATACATACAACAAAACCTGTGCAGGGGTATGGGAACAATATCTGAATGAGAACTGTGGGAGAGCATATAAGTTTGGTGGCTCAAATGGTATCTATCCTAGATTACAAATGTATACCATTATCATGTTTCAACTATGTACTTTTTGAAATCTTAGCTGACCTAAACTATGGGTTGCAGATAGAAGGCTCTCTAGTCTGCAGGAAACTTTCTGTTACCACTGTCATATTTCCTCATATCTCCCACTAAATCCTTCCCTTTGCTTGGCAAAAGTCACTGCCAGTTTCCTATAGGCACAACTCCCCACTGTAACCTGCACTCACATTCCTATAATGCATATTTCTATATGATGTTCAGATTCCACATGTGAGTAGTTGTTTGTATAATATTACTAAGTGTGTTTTAATAAAAGTTCAAAAGGCATAATATATAGCAAGAGATAGTTACAACCAAAACAAAGACTATTTAAAAGTTCCCATGGTTGGTCATAATCCACTCTGGGCTTATTAAAAGTCAAGGCAAAAAGAGAAATAGTTTTCACTAACTTTTGAACAAATAGAAATTCCAGTCCATTGAGAGAAAGAAAGCTTTTAGATTCATTTTTGTCTGGGTTTTTGTTTTTCTTAATTTTTATTTTTTTGTTAATCCTCACCCAAGGATATTTTTTACCCACTGAATTTTAGAGAGTGGAAGGGAGGGGAAAAGACAGAGAGAGAGAAACATTGATTTGTTGCCTCCCGCACTTGCCCGGACCGGGGCCGAGGATCAAGCCTGCAATGGAGGTATGTGCCCTGGACTGGAATTGAACCCTAGATCCTTCAGCCTGCAGGCCAATGCTCTACCCACTTAGCAACTGGCTAGGACCATTTTTGTCTTATTTTACCCATTGTTGTTGTCTTAGAATGGAACACCAAGAGATCACATATAGGATACTAAGAGAATCTTCTTTCTTCTATTTTCTGCCTTCTCACTAGTTACCTTTATGGGCTATTATCAGGACAAATTGACAACTTCTTTCTGTATTTTTGCTTCAATGCCCAGGAGAGAATCTGACCAGCCTGCCCCCAGATAACCACCCACCCCATTCAATCAGCTGTGTGGTAGAGTGGAGGAGGCACAGACCAAACCCGGTACCTAGAAATTCAACGACAAAAAAAAAAAAAAAAAAAAAAGAGGGGGAGGACAAAGCACCAGGATGACATAGCTGACATATCCAGAGTACAGAGTGGCTTGGACAAAGTTGGACATGTGAACGGGCTCAACACTGCCATCAAATGGAAGAAGCCATTGTGTTATTACAGGGTCTGGCAAAAGCTTTTGCCCATGTTCAATATGTAATTAAATTAATCAATCAACCAATTAATCCTGGTAACCTCCTACCTTGAGGGGGTAGAGTAACACTCTAAAATAAGTATAATGAATTACTATCACTTTAGAGAAATTAGTTCCTCCTCTTAATGCCAAAATATTATCTGGTTGATAAATTTATTTGAAAAAATTAGGAAAGGCCAATATGATCACAAACACATTACAGACAAATGGTATTGCTTTATAAAAGATTTTTTTACAAAAGATTAATGGAACATAAAAACTTAAGTCTAAGATGTCATCACCCCATCTACCTTCCTCAGATTTCTTTTTTCCCCCAATACTTATCTTGATGTCTGATCTCCTATCTGATTTTATCTGGGAATGCTACATTGTATGGGCTGGCCTGATGCCATAGGTTGCCGGAGAAAAGAGTCTGCCAATGAGAAATTCATCCCTGAGATAGTCAAAGATTGCTCTCATTTCACATTGAGTGAGTAAAATTACAGTTTTCCTCTTTGATGAATGTCCAAGTTCTTTGCAAAATCTAATCACAAATCTGAATAAGCAGTAAAATTTGTTCCTGCTTCTATTTATAGAATTGTAAACTTTAACCTAGAAATGGGTATATAAGCTGCTCTCAGAGAGTCCAAACTATTAGGTTAGCGCTAAAAGATCCTGAGTGAGTCAGGTTCCACTTATGTCTGCCCTGTGGGTCACATAAACCAGGAAGTAGGACCAGAACCCTTCCAGGGACAGAGAGCAGATCAGTCGGCAATA